ATGTTATATTTGTTTGGAAAACGTGTTTAATATGAGACAGGTATTTTGTCAGTGAACCTTGTGAGCTGTGACGGAGCCGAATTTTGTAAAGCTACCTTTGTTAAATGTTGCTGTTGTCCCTGGCTTCATATGAGTAGTGAAAAAGTCTGCTAGCAGCTAGGCTAATTTATACAATGTAAAATGCCATAGGCTTGTGCTACAAATATTAGCATGTTGTATTTGTGGGGAAAATATGTCCAGCGAAAAACAAGTGCTTTGTCTGTGAATGCTGCGAGTTATAGTGAAGCTGATTTGTGTACTTGTGTTTGAAATTGTTTCTATTAAGCCATATTTAATGTGTGTTTTGAATCAACTAAACTTTACAGCTCTTCACAGAAACCCTGCCGCTGCTAGTGTTTTGGAGGTGTAACTGCAGAGTGACAGAGACACACCACCGCACAAGTATAAATGCTCACAACGGCAAAGACCACAAACCAACACACTCTCATTCCGACTTCATCACATATTGACGATTGGTCATGGACCCTCTGTGTCCACATATGAGATGAAAGGTTCCCTGGGTGTGTTGGTTGTTGATGTTCTGGGATGCCGTATCAAGCTCTGCCTGTTACATGCATTGTCTTCTTTCAAAATACACTTCAGTTTTCACAGGAAATTTAACGTTTACATAAAGTCTCTTTCAAAATAAACACACCACATCAGTACAACACCGCAATTTGATGTTTTTTTCCTTCAGCAACAAACACCCATAGTCAGGTTTAGGCAACAAAAACACATGGTAAGGTTTAGGAAAACAAAAACACATGGCTTGGTTTAGGCAACAAAAACATGTGGTTAAGTTTAGGCAACAAAAACACATGGCTTGGTTTAGGCAACAAAAACATGTGGTTAGGTTTAGGCAACAAAAATACGTGGTTAGGTTTAGGCAACAAAAACATGTAGCTAGGTTTAGGCAACAAAAACACGTGGTTAGGTTTAGGAAAACAAAAACACATGGTCAGGTTTAGGCAACAAGAACACGTGTTAAGGTTTAGGCAACAAAAACACGTAGTTAGGTTTGGGAAAAAAGAACAGGGTTTGGCTTTAGAATCTTTCGGGACGCAAACACCGCTCTCTTGGGTGAAAGCCTCCTACCAGCCACAGTCGGAATCTCGCCACCTTAACTTTCATCGTTTCCCCCTGGCGCCATTAAACTATAATGATAATTGGCCGTGTATCACGCTGACTTTAAAGGACGCCTTTTTTTTGTTGGTTTCTGATGCTGCAAGTCAATGCCCAAGGGCCGGATGTCAACGACTTCGTAGTGAGACTGGGCTCCACATGTGTAGGCTATGGCATCGGCTCTGCATAGAGCTGACACACAAGTACAAATCCCGCTTTAAAAGTGTGTCAACCAACCCTGGTCTCCCCTACCTCTGTTTTGGTCTTATAAGAAGCCATCAAACAAGCCAATTTGATATATGCATATATATATATATATATATATATATATATATGCGTGTGTGTGTGTGTATGTATATGATGACTGGCTGCCATAGAAACAATTAGCCAATCATTTAGTATGAATACTTCAGTGTATGAAAAGGGAATTGCAGGCTATTCCCTGAACCACTGGTGAGTCACTGCTGATATGAAAACGTACCCTCTCTCCCTCCTCTCCCTCTCAGGTGTCACGGTACGTATCAACAAACACTGCTGCACGCATGGCTGCACGTGACACAATAAGAACAGTGCCCATGACGGGACAGTACAAGGCACGCGCCTACTCTTCGCTGACTGCATCCTTTTTTCCCCCTTGTCGCTGCTCGGTGTCATGTGCTCCGGTCACTTTCACTAAAACCTTGAGGAGACACCACTCATCCTTCATCGTTGTACACATTACCCATGACGCTCAGGGAGGGAGAACATCAACAGCACGTGACGTGCATCCACAAAAACAACGGCTATTTGACAACAAGCTGGTTTCCCAACTCAAACGATGACATGACACCACATCCATCCGCCAGGTGATGTAGTTCTCTAACAGTAGCAGAACAAAGTAGTTGTCATGTGATGTAGCACTACAGCAGCCTGCCGTGATTTCGGTTAAAGCCCAACAAATAAATATTTAATTTAATTTTAATCGCTGTCACAGAAACGAATATCTCACAAACGTGACATGGTCGATCAAAGCACGAGGACTATTAGTGTCTGTGTCCACTTCAGCATCACTTCTTCACGCAGCTGAGAGCACGCGCGCATCCCATGAAGGGATCACAACATTCCTGCATCAGCGCGGGTGTCCGCACTTCAGCATCAGCTGTCCCAGCTCCGGAGCACTGCGGTACTCACGCCATGAATTAAAACACAACAACGGGGTAAAAAATAACACACTTCTGAATATGTAAAGAGATTTTTTTTAAATAAGCGTCCTCATTATGTCCCGAGTAAAGTTTCACGCGAGTCCCGCAGGACACCTGAGACCGAGTACTTACCGTCAATCGCCATGATGCTCCGTCCCGGACTCTACCAACTGTTGGGGGGGTGTGATGGAGGAGGGAGGTCATTCATGTGCTAGTGGACGGTGTGTGTGTGTGTGTGTGTGTGTGTGTGTGTGTGTGATAGGTAGAGAGATTGTGTAACAGGAGTAGCTACTATGTAGGATATTAATGTCAAACATGCGATATTTAAAACATGAATGTAAGATAGGATGAGTCTGTTACTATTATTATTATTATTAGAATTATCATTATTATCTTCAGAAGCCAAAGTCAACAAAATTAGCTACAGATAAATAAAATAATAATATAAATAGTATATGACTGCAATAAGATTATGAGTAAAGACAAAAGATATACAATAGCAATTAAAATATATACTAGGCAAAGTGACATTGATGCTATTAATAGCTGCGAACATGGGAAGAAGCATTTGATTTTATATGATTAAACAGGCCATAATAGCCTACACAAGTGCACAGTGTGTACATGGTGTTAGCTGAGGCACGGTGACCTTAGAATAAGGACGCTCCTATAGTTATCATGAATCATATCTATTTTTGTGCAGTAAAGGTGGTTAGTTATTTTTTTATTTGCCTGTCATAACAAATATTTGGCACATCTCACATGGGGTTAACAGACAGCGCAATATAACACATCGTTGCTGTACCATTAAAATGAAGATAGTATAAGAATGTTTCTATATATTTAAAAAAATAAGTTATATATATATATATATATATATATACACACAGTTAAAAGCAAAAAACATTAAACATAGCATTTGACATACATCTTAAATAATTTTATGTTTATGTACAATAAATCAATAGCGCTGAACAGCAGCATAAGGAGTGGTTTATTATAAAGGGCTTCTTTATCCACATCTTGCAAGCTTTCTTGAAGTAATTTCTAATTAGTGTTTACAATGCCAATAGCAATATTTATAAGTTACGGATAAATTCAAACATTACACACACTTTATATCATATAAAAAAGCAGGAGTGCAGGTCTGTATGTGTGTTTTCTGGCATTAGGTTGTGGTAGCAGTCCCAAAGTAAACAATGTTGGTTTCACAGGCAGACCGAGAACACTGTGTTAATTTCATGTCCCAGTTAGAATTTGAGATCTAGTGGTGAGAAAAGTATTCAGCAGCAAAATGTACTTAAAGTATCAAAAGTGAAATTACTTGTTCTGCGATAAAATGTCTGCTGTGACAGATATGTGACATTATTAGAACGTTAATAGCAATGCATCAATATGTAAGAAGCCTTTTAACTGTTAGCTGCTCAGGGTGCTCATATTAGCAATTTTAGTCCAGTGGTTCCCAATTTGGGGACCGGGTCACTTCCAAAGTGCCACAAAATAAATCTGAAGATTTGTGAGATGATACATGGGGCAGAAAAACAAAGTTTTGATGCTCAAACTTTTGAACACTTAAATAATTGTGTAAGACAAAATGTCTGACAAAGTGTCTTTCCGATAAAGTGTAGTGGCAAAGGCACAGGTTTTGTTTCAACATTGTGGGGGACTCATATGAAACCAGGGAGGTTGGTTGGTTGGCTCCCCCAGAAAATGTAAGCATCAAACACTTAATTTCCTGCATTATGGTGAATATTTATGCACCAATTTGTGCCTTTACTGCATTGATGCAAAGGTAGAAGCATCTTTAATTTTGTCAAAATAAAACCCCTCTGCTACCTGCATGTATTACTGTGGGGAAAAATACACATATTCTAAATATTAAGGAGTGTGTGTCCAATGTACCCCACCCCCCACTCCACCAAAAAAAAAAAATCTATGTCTATATGTAGTTGAGTAAAAAGTATGCCTACAATATTTTTCCTCTGACATGTAATGGGGTAGAGGTATAAAGTTGCACAAAATGAAAATACTCAAGTAAAGTAAAAGTACCTTGAAATTGTACTTACATAGGCTGCTGCTCTTGAGTAACAGTAGCCTGCTTAATTACTTTCCACCACAGGGATGGATTCCCTGAACGATCCTACCGGGCACAGGCCCAGGAGCCCAAAGTGTCAGGCTGCCTCCTGGCCGTCATTTGCAAAATGTCACTCAAATGAACATGTACGGACCAGGTAAAGATTCAAAACGACCCCAAAGAGACACAAAAAGACCACACAGAGATGCACTGGAACTGCAATGAGACACAAAATAACTAAAAAAGACTCAAAATTACCTCAAAAGACAGAAAACAACTACAAAGAGATACAAAACCACCACAACCCCTGGGCAGTAGCTCAGCCCATAGGGACCTTGCTTGGTAACCGAAGCGTCGCTGGTTCAAGTCTCAGTACAGACCAAGTATGGAGTCTGGACTGGTAGCTGGAGAGGTGCCAGTTCACTTCCTGGGCACTGCTCAGGTGCCCTTGAGCAACGCACCAACTTTATGTTTATTTATCTATCTATCTATCTTTTTCTCTCTCTCTCTCTCTCTCTCTCTCTCTCTCTCTCTCTCTCAGTCCAGTCCCAGCCAACCGAGTGCAAGTGATGCCCAGCTCTGCCTACGTCACAGCCTGAAGACACGCCCACCCGCGTTGTAGGAAAATACATTTCCGCAAAGTTTACAAACTGCAGCTGCCTCCCATTCTGCCGGATTTAGTCAGGAAACTTTAGGAAACTTTTTACAACAATGAGTGAAATCAAACCAAACGACTCAGCTCCGACTGAAGACGGCGGGGAGGAGAAAGACTGGGCTGCGGCCAAAGCTTTCTTTGACAACCTCAAATCAAACAAACCGAGACCTGTGAGTACTCTGCTGACAACCTTTATCACGCATAACTTGTGTGTTAGCTTCACACATGTCATTGCATACAATTTGTGACCCCACAACTGCAAACAACACTGCTTTTTATCTTCCCCCATCCCCTCACAGCCCAAACCCCGTAACGCTGTCACCATCGCCGTCTCCTCTCGCACCCTGTTCAACATGGTGGCAGAGAGGAAGATCTATGAGGACGAGGGGGTAGAGAAATACGTGGCTTATCAGGTGGAGCATGAAGACGATCCTCTGAAGCCAGGAGCTGCTTTCCCCTTCGTTAAGGTAGGTCACAGTCCCGGTAGAATCAATCCCCGCAACAAGTCTCTGCACATTGTTTGCAGGGCGTGGTGCGTTCAATGTCCTCGGCTTCTCGTATAAGGACGCTGTTGATACATTCCTCACCAGGAAAAACCTGATTTACAACAAACCACAGTGGTCTCTGACAGTGGACAGAGTTATAAACCCTGCATCCACATCTTAGAGGTTTGTGCTGAGACCAAAGGCCTGGATACACCAGGCCACACCTCAATACGTCAAGTAGCCCAAAGGCAGGTAGGAAGGATTTTAGCACAATCAGAAAACTTAATTTAAGTGCATGTATCAGAGACAATTTTCTCCTTATTTTCAAATCACTTAATTCTCTGTTCATTCATTCCTTAAATGTCAGATATCAGGAAGTCATCTCATCAACCTCAGATATCAAGGAAACTATGAAACTATTATGTATGTACAGTTTCCTTGTTTGATGAGATGGAGGTGGTTCCTCACTGACTTATTAATTCCTCATTTTAAAACAATTCAGACTTTCTCCTGCTGCTTAATATGCACAGTGCCAGGACAAAATAAGGGATAAAGTTAAAGGGATAGTTTGGATTTTTTGAAGTGGGATTGTACGGGGTACTTAATGCATAATCAGTGTATTACATAAGCCCTGTTTCCACCAAACACTTTCGGTATAGTACCTTTGGAATCAAAAGTAACCCTTCAGACGTGGTACCTAGACCCTAGTGTTTCCACTGCAAACGCTACTCTTAAGAGTGTGCGGGGTTGTTGTCAGTAGCCCTTTTTAGACAGGAATTGTGTAGATTTGCAGGAAAGCCCAATCAGTCTTTTTTCAGCATTGGCAGTATAAAAACAAAATCGGGGAGTGCAGCAAAATGCCGCCTACCTAATTTTGTTCATACAGAATGCACCTTTTTCGGGGCAATGGGGGCGTGAGCAAGTATCAAAACGTGTAGCTCAGTGTGTGACGTAAACAGTGATGTGGGAGGGAAGCCGCGGTTAGTCAGTCCTTCCGCAATTCTCTCATAAGTCGGCCCGTTATTCACTGTCCCCGTCATCTGACGGTTAATGGCCTCTTCATTTGCGAGGGCAAGGAGGGCGCGCAATTTGTTGTCTCCCCAGTTGCTCATCTTTACAGTGTCTGTCAGGTTTGCATTTCCCTCTTGGCTGCTACGAGCTGCTCGCTAATTCCTGCCATCAGCTGTTTCCTGTTTATCCACCGCCAGTGGGTCGCATGTGCAGTGTCATCAACAGCTCCTCCCACAGGTCTTCAACAGCCCCTCCCGTTGCGGAAGGCCGCCTCGGTCTGTTTAAACTAAAAGGGTTCCGGCAATATGTCTACCCTACAATGCAGAAAATTGGGCACCTCAGATCAACTCGCCATTCCGGCTCTGTGTGACTAAACGCTTGCAGCTTGCCGGCAAAATGGCCCAACATTCGCGAAAATCTGTTAAAAGGGGCTACTCACTGCTGTCTAGGTGTCATTCTCTTCTGCAAATTCTGATTTAATACTTCTTCGCTATGTCTGGTGAAACTCTTGTGGTTTTATTTCTCGTATCAATGGTACCTTTGGCAACAGGAACAATCCTTTTTTGTTGTGGTCACATGTTCAACACACAGTTGCTGAAGACAAAAATTTAGCTTAGACTGGTTGTTAGTCGTTACAGACACAGACAGTGCAATAGGTACCAGAGCTCCGCAAAGACATTTTAGAAAATGCTAAATATTTGTAAAAAATAAATAAATAAGTATTTGCTAAAAGGCAAATTACTTTGAATTACAGTGACAGAGTTTAATGAGCCAGACTTTGACATCAGTTCTATTAGAGTCAATGGGGCGGGCACTGCAAATGAACCTTCCACCAGATTAAGAAACACGCATTATGTGATGCTTACTGACATTATTATCTCAATATGTGCATTTGTTTTTCTTGTTATTGCTCCCTGAACAGATCATGGCTCTGTCCAGCAGAGGCTGAGAAGCAGCTGACAGACAAAGCCAGGATCTGTCTGGGGGCCATTAACAAGGAAAGCAAATGCAACTGACACCAAAATCTGGCTCCTTGAATGCTGCCACCAGACTCCATTGACAAAAACAGCAATTTAAGCTTGCTGGACACGGTAGCTGCTGGTCTACTGCTGCTTCTATCAGTTAGTTTGTTTGTGTTATTGTGTGACTTTGGTGAATCCAAACTAATCCTTTTTAACACCAAAGTCACACAGTAATACTGATTGAGGCAGTGATTTACCAGCAGCTCCTGTGTTCAGCAATGTTAAATCACTGTTTTTCTCAATGGAGTCTGGCTTTGAAGAGAGTGATTATAACTGCTTCCTTTTCCCATTAGAAATCACTGTCTGACATTAAGATAAAGCGGTGAAAATATTTGAAAATATAGCATACATTCAAACTGATACAGATTTTCTTTAGCTGGCTAAAATGATTTTTGTTGCAGACCCCTCCACAGCAGTAGATAACTTAGCTTCCAGCCTGCTTCTCCAGACTGAGGGCAGGCTTTCTGACAAATACTGTATGTAATACAATGTGTATGGAAAAGTACCCTATACAACCCCAGTTCAGAATATCTGAAATGTCCCTTTAAAGCCCCTCTTTGCCTTCAAAACAGCTTCACTCATTCTTGGAATGAAGTCATACAGGTCCTGAAGTATCACCAGTCTCTAGCGAGAAAAATCCAACATTACCATACAACCTCTCTTAAAGGTTGATTGATGTGCAGAGCGATAATTGCAGACCACTCCTGAATGTGTTCAGCAACGTGGAATAGAGGAACATCTAGAGAAGAGTGATTGCACCCCGTTACTGTAAAGTGATCTTGTATTCCTCGGCTGTAAAGCAACCACTCGGTCACAGAGGACACAGACCTGCTGCCACAGCTGGCAACAGACACTGTGGGTTTGAGGCATCACTTGGCTTTCTCCAAATGTAAACCTGCCTGGATGTTGAGTATAAAGTGACCAGTGACTCACTGGAGTGTGTCAGTTATTTCCATTGCACCATTGCTCCTTGTTTTCTCTACTGTTAGTTTCTAAATGGCAGAAATGCTGTAAATTCAGCCCATATTGAGAAGTTTTCTGTTGATTTAATTCCTGTGAATGACTAGTTTTTGGCTTCATTTGAAATGTGGTTACTTCAATATGAGGGGTTGAGATAATATCAAATTATTCAATAAATGCATACATTTGTAAAATTATGCACAAGTAAAATAAATGGTATTAAAGTTAAGGGCTGGGCAATATATTTATATTTAATTAATACTGTATTATGAGATTAGATATTGTCTTAGATTTTGGATATCGTCATATCGCAAGTGTTGTCTTTCCTTGGTTTTTAAGACTGCATTATATGTATTAGTTATTCTGTTAATTGGCTCTAGTCGTCATGATCGTTGCAAAACTGATATTGTGGTATTTGGTTCAAAATATTGTGATTGTGATATGGTGTTTACAAGGTCAAACACATGTACAGGATGCTACAAAAACCTGATAATAAATGGGTTACTACATAATTTAAACACACTCATAGAGATGTTGAATGACTGTTGTTTGAACACCAAATCAAAACGTCCTATTCAGGTTCAAAAATAGGTCCAAAATGAAAGTTGTGCCAACGTCCGGGATGTTACCTGGCTGTAAGCTGGACATCGTTCCCGAGCATCCTAGCAACATCTAAATATCTTAACACGACAAAATAATAAACTGATATTGTTCACACAAGGCACAGTGGTGCAGTGGTTAGCATTGTCGCCTCACAGCAAGAGGGTTCATAATTCGAACTCTGGCTTCCTCCCACAGTCCAAAGACATGCAGGTTAACTGGTGACTCTAAATTGTCCGTAGGTGTGAATGTGAGTGTGAATGGTTGTCTGTCTCTATGTGTCAGCCCTGTGATAGTCTGGTGACCTGTCCAGGGTGTACACCACCTTTCGCCTAATGTCAGCTGGGATAGGCTCCAGCCCCCCCAATGACCCCTAACAGGATAAGTGGTTATTGAAAATGAATAAATGTTCACATAAGACTCCAGTCTCCTGGGTGAAAGTCCTGTGCCTGATCCATTTATCTACATGGCTTCATGTTTGTCTCTCTCTGTGGACTTTGTCAGTCTTTATACTATGTCATCTGACTGTATGTCAAACAGCCCTGTGGGTTACTTCTCCCATGTGTGATCAAAGACCGTTTGGATAAAGACTTTTGGCTCTTAGAGACACTACAGGCTTAAAATGATAAGACAAGACTGTAACTCACATGTAGATATACGTAAATGGCATAAACATCTATTCATACAGTACAGGCCAAAAGTTTGGACACACCTTCTCATTCAATGCGTTTTCTTTATTTTCATGACTATTTACATTGTAGATTCTCACTGAAGGCATCAAAACTATGAATGAACACATGTGGAGTTATGTACTTAACAAATAAAGGTGAAATAACTGAAAACATGTTTTATATTCTAGTTTCTTCAAAATAGCCACCCTTTGCTCTGATTACTGCTTTGCACACTCTTGGCATTCTCTCGATGAGCTTCAAGAGGTAGTCACCTGAAATGGTTTCCACTTCACAGGTGTGCCTTATCAGGGTTAATTAGTGGAATTTCTCGCTTTATCAATGGGGTTGGGACCATCAGTTGTGTTGTGCAGAAGTCAGGTTAATACACAGCCGACAGCCCTATTGGACAACTGTTAAAATTCATATTATGGCAAGAACCAATCAGCTAACTAAAGAAAAACGAGTGGCCATCATTACTTTAAGAAATGAAGGTCTGTCAGTCCGGAAAATTGCAAAAACTTTAAATGTGTCCCCAAGTGGAGTCGCAAAAACCATCAAGCGCTACAACGAAACTGGCACACATGAGGACCGACCCAGGAAAGGAAGACCAAGAGTCACCTCTGCTTCTGAGGATAAGTTCATCCGAGTCACCAGCCTCAGAAATCGCAAGTTAACAGCAGCTCAGATCAGAGACCAGATGAATGCCACACAGAGTTCTAGCAGCAGACCCATCTCTAGAACAACTGTTAAGAGGAGACTGCGCGAATCAGGCCTTCATGGTCAAATAGCTGCTAGGAAACCACTGCTAAGGAGAGGCAACAAGCAGAAGAGATTTGTTTGGGCCAAGAAACACAAGGAATGGACATTAGACCAGTGGAAATCTGTGCTTTGGTCTGATGAGTCCAAATTTGAGATCTTTGGTTCCAACCGCCGTGTCTTTGTGAGACGCAGAAAAGGTGAACGGATGGATTCCACATGCCTGGTTCCCACTGTGAAGCATGGAGGAGGAGGTGTGATGGTGTGGGGGTGTTTTGCTGGTGACACTGTTGGGGATTTATTCAAAATTGAAGGCACACTGAACCAGCATGGCTACCACAGCATCCTGCAGCGACATGCCATCCCATCCGGTTTGCGTTTAGTTGGACAATCATTTATTTTTCAACAGGACAATGACCCCAAACACACCTCCAGGCTGTGTAAGGGCTATTTGACCAAGAAGGAGAGTGATGGAGTGCTGCGGCAGATGACCTGGCCTCCACAGTCACCGGACCTGAACCCAATCGAGATGGTTTGGGGTGAGCTGGACCGCAGAGTGAAGGCAAAGGGGCCAACAAGTGCTAAACACCTCTGGGAACTCCTTCAAGACTGTTGGAAAACCATTTCAGGTGACTACCTCTTGAAGCTCATGGAGAGAATGCCAAGAGTGTGCAAAGCAGTAATCAGAGCAAAGGGTGGCTATTTTGAAGAAACTAGAATATAAAACATGTTTTCAGTTATTTCACCTTTTTTTGTTAAGTACATAACTCCACATGTGTTCATTCATAGTTTTGATGCCTTCAGTGAGAATCTACAATGTAAATAGTCATGAAAATAAAGAAAACGCATTGAATGAGAAGGTGTGTCCAAACTTTTGGCCTGTACTGTACTTTTAAAAAAGGGCTTCGTGTGGAGTGAATGTTGCAGTGTGGCCGTCTAATCACAACCAAACAAATAAATTGTCAAAAAGTCTTGTAGATAAAAAAAAAAAAAACAGATACATGCAGTTGCTTTTCTATAGCAATAATATGATGACTACTTCATGGTTTGTAAGAGACGATCTGAACTGACCATTATTGGACATGGAAACAACAATATGATCTGGCGGTCTGCCTCATAACCGAGATGCAGTTTTTGGCGTCCAACCAGGATCATTTTCCCAGGGCCACTATGTCCCTACCAGACCAATGTTTACTGGGCTTTAAAGCCAGGAAAAGACACCACTTAAAATATCCAAAATCTAAGCTACATCACTCTAGAGTCCAGCCATATGATGATGGAGTTTGTGGTGTATAAAACACATTTCTTTCTTTCATTGTTGTTTTAATAACTTGATATTCTCCTTCTAAAGACTGTAACTGAAAGAAAGCTATGGTTCAAATGTTGTAATGTGTGTGTTGTAACCTGGTGTTGGCCGCTCTGACGCAACACCCCGGCCTGTGATGTAAAGCTGTCCCTCCTCTCACACAGGCGCTGATGAATGTCAACGCTCGACTGAGGCAGCTCTACCCAGACAGCGAGGAGCTGTTTGACATCGTCTTAATGACTAACAACCATGCCCAAGTTGGAGTGCGCCTCATAAACAGCATTAATCACTATGGTACGCTGCATCCTAAAGCAAACATTGTTGATTGTTTAGCACGATGGCGGCTCGCCGGCTGCAGCAACAGGAGTAATCAAGAACAGCACTCAGTCAAGTAATTACACACTAGAAACAAAGAAGAGCTTTTAAAGTGTAATTAGAACTCCAACTTGCTTTTATACTTTCAGATCTGACCATAGAGAGATTCTGTATGACCGGAGGGAAAAGTCCTATCGGCTACCTCAAGGCCTACCTGACGAACCTTTACCTCTCCAAGGACGCAGAGAAAGTCACTGAAGCCATAGAGGAAGGTAAGTGATGCTGCTGTTGGATTATAACCCTCGTTTCCCTCGTTTCAGCAGCCCGGAGACATATTTGTACTGATATTTACACACTTGCATGTTGACTTTGTGTGTGACTCATTCACACTGTTGAGGGAAACCTCGACCCCACGCTGTGCAGCAAGAAGGTGCTGGTTGGAGACAGCCTGTGATTTATGGCTCCCCGTCGTTCAAATACACACAAACAGATTTGAAACACTGACGTTCAGATGTAGTGCGGAAATTAAGTGATGAGTTGTGAGGCAGAAAATTTTGAGAATGGATTTAAAGTCGATTATGAAGCAGAATTGCGAAACATTTGCAGGTTCTACCTTCTGAAATGTGAGGATTTGCTGCTTTATCTGTTGTGTATCACATACACATGTTATATATCATATTTTATATCACTGTAAATGAAATATCTTTGGGTCTTTGACTGTTGGTTGTCTTTGATCAAAGGAAGGTATTTGAAGACGTCACTTTTGGCTCTGAGAAATTGTGATAGGATTTTTTGTGACAACCTGTCATCACAGGAGGCACAGGATGTCAGATTCTATTTGCACATTAAAAAGATCTATTAAGTTTTAATTTCCCACTTGTCCTCGGCTTATGAGCAACCAGATACATCGATAGATAGTGCATCAATAATGTGCAGACTTAAGTTTTTTAACCATAACTTACCCCAGTTGTGCTCAACCAGGGGTCCTTGAAGGAGTCCCAGGGGTCCCGGAAACATGGACAATAGTTAATTTTTGATATTTAATTCACTATAAAGGTTAGCCCAGTGTGAGTAAGAGTCATAACAGTGACTATCCAGATCACAAGTTTTACTTCATTAATGGGCTTCTCCTCAGTTAATTAAGCAGGGTTCCCACGATCATGGAAAACCTGGAAAAGACATGAAATTTCAGGGCACCGGTGGCTTTGCATATAGAGCAGGCGCCCCATACACAAGGCTGTTGCCGCAGCGGCCCAGGTTTGACTCCAGCCTGCGGCCATTTGCTGCAAGCCATTCCCTCTCTCTCTCCCTCTTTCACGCTTGACTGTACTATTGATTAAAGGCACATTTTCCAGGCCTGGAAATCATTCAAAGTTTTGGATAAGTCATGGAATTTTGTTGTGTAATGAAATTGTTATCGTTATCTTCCAAGAATAACCTTCCATGTGATGTAACAAAACAGCAAATGTATTTTCTGAAGCTGTCAACGTAGCGTCACTCAAATATGTGTTGATGTGTGATTTTTGTTTACCATCATGTACGTTCCTATGTATGTTCTATGTATGCCAGTTAGCTGAAATTACAATTAGAGGCAAGTAGGGCAAAAAAGAAAATTATGGGTCCTTGAAAAGTCATGGAAATTTTTTTAAATTTTGTCCATGAAAATGTGTTGGAACCCTGTTATGACATGATATGGCTGCAACAAAGGGTTATTTCCATTATTGCTTCATCTGCTCTTTATTTTCTTGATTAATCAATTAATCATTTTGTTAGTAACATGTCAGAAATAGTGAAACATGCCCTGTTTATTAAGGTAACATCTTCAAATTGTTTGTTTTATCTGACTTAAAGTATAAAAATCCAAAGTCATTCAGTTTATTATCATTTAAGACAAAGACAAAAGTCAAATTCTCACGTTTAATAAGTATGAAATCAGCAAATTTTGGGCTTTTATACTTAAAAAATTGCTGAAATGATTACACGATTATTAAGAGAGTTGTTAATAAATGTTCTGTCAATCGATTAATCGAATACTCATTGCAGCTCTAGTTGTCAGCTATGGAATTCTGGTGTTAATCATATGTAGCAACCATAATCTTTTCAGATGAAGGTCCCTTAGCCGAGATCTTATGGGGTCTGGGGGATCTAATGGGGGTCTGTAACCTAATGTGTATCAGGGGTTGACACAAAAGGGTTGAGAACCACTGCCTTATTCTCAAACAAAGTGGTGTTTGTCTTTTAGATAGGAAACAAGATTTGATGGAGACCACATTATCTGAACTCTATAGATGTAACATTTGAATGTCTTCACTGAAAGACAGGTATCAAGTATCAACAATCAAAGCTGACATGTAGCGGCAGTTAAAACATTGTTAATAAAACAGGAAGTTGAAGATGCCTGCAGCTGTGAGGTATCAAATGTTAGACTGCTTAGAACACAGCAATGGATGCATGATTATAACCAGCCTTCCCCTCCTCCAGGTATTGCTGCAGCCACGATGTTTACGCCACAAAAAGAGACTGAGTTGAGCGACACTCAGCTGAGAGTGGCGTTCGATGGCGACGCCGTCCTCTTCTCAGACGAGTCGGAGATCATTGTGAAGAAACATGGCCTGGACACTTTCTTTGAGCACGAGAAGCAGTTTGAGAACAAACCTCTCGCTCAGGTAACAGATGGCTGTTTGTGTGTACTTAACATCACTGTGTGCAGACTTTAAATCCAGACGATAATGTGTCTTCACAAAAATATATTCATCTACATTCATTCGTCCATTAATGAAATCACATAGCTGCAGATCCAATGCAAAGGATTTTTTTTTTTTAAAAATCTCAAGTCATAGTTTAAAGGAGAAATCCAAGACTTTCACACCTGAAAGTCTGTTTACAGGTCTCAGGGAGTATTGCTTCATATATGTGCTTTTAAGAAAAAAAAAAAAGAAAGAAAGTTGTGCATGTGTACAACATCATAAATCCTGATAATAGAAATTACGTGACAGGAGAGGTCAAGAAGCTACGGGCTTACTCAATGGACCTCCCCTTAATAAGGGATAGCAATACAAAACTAAGAAATTATATATTTCAATCAGGAGAGACTTGATTTTTATAGTAAAAAAAATATGTATTAAGATGTGCACATTAGAATGAAAAATGTGGAAAGTCTTTTGCAATTAGACCCCGTAGAGATGGTGTGATTTAAGGAGGGTGATGAATCCATAGTCAAACAGGGAACCCCCCCAGGGACTAGACGCTGGCGGTGGTATAGGTGGTGAAGATGAGATGAGATGAGAGGAAGATGGTGAAGTGCCGATGATCTCGATGAGTAGATGAAGGAGCCTTTGTTGAGCTCGTCCTGGACTCTGGATACGACGCCTGGAGGTTAACGGGGTGGAGGAGGGTGCGACAGTTCTGCCTAAAATGATGGCTGACAGCAGCAGAGAGAGAGAGAGAGAGAGAGCAGATTTAAATTTAAATTTTGCAGTGGCATCCTGATTGGCTGAGAGAGATGGAGGCAAAGTTTGATTGGATAAGTAGAAGAGTGAACACCCATAGTCAGCTTTTTAGAAGAAGCAGTGGGAGCGGGATGCAGAGAATTGTGAATGAATGAGCATGAAGAAAGTCTTCCTGATTGAACTTTCGCTGAGCTTCATTAGTCAGCAAAATTCTGTCCGCATGACCTTTGTTTCACAAAATATCTCCGTACATACTAGAATGCAAAAACAACTCCAAAAACTTGATGGCGTAAGCTGTCTCCCCTCGTTGCAAAGTTTTGTAAAGTCTACAAGCTAACGTTACCTTTTGCAAAACAGCTACTGGAAATCTCATCATCGTTAATTCCCCTTCGATATATAAGGACACTCACTCCTTAAATTCTCCCACCATCTGTTGGTTCCACTGGGCCTCTTCCAAAACCATTGTTTCTGGCGGACTTTAACCCTATGGGCCCGAACGACGCATAGTGCGTCCAAATTCACACCTGTTCTTCTCTATTGATTTTCTCCGCGACCGCGTCATAGCAAGAAGCCACGCATATCAGCGGAAACAGCAGAACTGTAGCTTTCTGACAAGACCAAGCACTTGTCGGTAGTCCAGTGTTTTCACAGCAAAAAAAAAAAGATAAATTTACACTAAAATCATGAATAACAGAGCTTTCATGCAGCTCTGCACACACATTACTCTTGGATGGATTACTCGCGAATGCAGGCTCGCACAGAAATGCCACGCACATCACATGAAAGCGCAGGAGCAGAGCTTTCCAGTGATGCCACACACATTGTGCTGTCATCCCATCACGCTGTAAATACAGATTGATTGTCTACAAAATAAAAACCTGACGAATTTCTTTACAATCCATTATACAGATCTTGTTATCAGTCACTTCATATAGTGAGGAATATCGTATCTTACCACGTCTTAGGCTTGCGTGTGTTTCTCCCTGTCTATCCACATTTGTAGTCCGGCTTTCAAGATGCAAATATCTCCATATTGTCCAGTTGACACTCCATCAAACTTTGTATGACAAGACCAGCTTACTTAACCTTTGCGCACCTAAACAACTGCAGCCTAATTATGCATGCTGACAGGGCCGTAGTCACCATATACATTGAGGGGGACACGTGCCCCCCCACCAACAACAACAAACTTTGTTTACTGCAAACAAAGTAGCAAATTTTATCTTGGAGGACATCATTGCACTTGGTTGACTATTCTTCTATGATCTTAGATGATTACTGTTAATTTATTATGCTGATCTGTTCTGTACAACATCTATTGCACGTCTGTCCGTCCTGGAAGAGGGATCCCTCCTCAGTTGCTCTTCCTGAGGTTTCTGCCGTTTTTTTCCCCTGTTAAAGGTTTTTTTGGGGAGTTTTTCCTTATCTGCTGTGAGGGTCCAAAGGACAGAGGGATGTTGTATGCTGTAAAGCCCTGTGAGGCAAATTGTGATTTGTGATATTGGGCTTTATAAATAAAATTGATTGATTGATTGACAAATATTGCATGTTTCTTTCAGATAAAACACATTTTTGACTTGTGAATGAGTCAATGGAATTTCTTGCAATAATGAAAAAATACTGGCAATCATTTTCCGCCTGGCACAAACCACATGTTTTGGACAACTGTGAAGTGACAGAATGTCCCAGCATCATGGTTCTTATATTGCCAGATTCCCGAGAGTCTCCCCTCTTTATATATGGTAGAATATGTCTTTTTCCAACTTGCTATGGTGAGATACATGTAAAAATGTAAGAATTTAGTCACGCTGATTTGTTTTTTCATTGATATAAAAATTAATATAAAATACAGGCACATAGAAGAACATGAAATGATGGCAAATCTGGTTAGCCCAGATTGTCCTGAAAAAAAAAACAAGATATAGCATGTGTATGTAGCCTTTATAATGACTGTGATATGAGCTTAAAAGTAAAGGCAGTAAAAAATACCCCAAAAAACGCCTAGGGCCCATGGGGTTAAACTGTGGACAAAGAGGTGGAGCAATAACACTGGGTGCAGCAGACGCCTCCATTCATCTTTAAAGTGGTGCAGCAGTTATAGGTTTAAGTGTCAAGTAGTTATTAGACCAAGCAGTGCTAACAAAATGTAAACAAACCAGTCAACCTTGTCATTGTTGTTTGTGGTGCATGTTCATGACACAAAGCAAGAGTGGGCATGCACGAATTGAGGAGACTCCATTTTACTTTCCACACAGATACATAGTAACCAGAGCTTTAAAAAATTCTGCATTTTGAAGGCATTTTAAAACTGTTTTGCTAACTTAAAACTCTGTTTGTGTGGACAAGAGGCCAAAACAAAAAATATCTTCTATGTGTAGACGTAAAAAGCGAAAAACTGAACACAAGGGTTCACCATATCTGTTACCGTAACAGGAAACATACACCTGTATGGGGCGAAACAAGGCTCTGGGGAATGTCTGCAGGGTGTTGGAACCTGCTCTGCTGGCTCTAAACAAGTTTTAAATCAGGCACTATTTTTTTTCATTTTGTGCCCGTGCGTGTGTGTGTGCATTTAGTTTTTCTCTCTATGTATCTGTAGCTACGCTCCTTATTTTTAGAACATTTTTAATTAAGTCTCTTCTTTGGCTCTTTTTTCCAGGGTCCCTTAAAGTGTTTCCTGGAGGCTCTGGGGAAGCTCCAGAGAAAATTCTACAACAAGAACGAGCGCCTGAACTGCCCCATCCGAACCTACCTGGTGACGGCCCGCAGTGCCGCCAGCTCTGGCGCTCGCGTCCTGAAGACTCTCCGCAGCTGGGGCCTGGAGATCGACGAGGCTCTCTTCCTGGCCGGGGCTCCAAAAGGGCCCCTGCTGCAGAAAATCAAACCTCACATCTACTTTGATGACCAGATGTTCCACATCGAGGGGGCCAAGGAGCTGGGCACCATATCCGCACACGTCCCCTACGGGATCGGACAGAAGTACCACAAGGGGAAACTCATTGAGCAGCCCGCACAAAAGGAATAACCCGTAGAATATTAAACATACACTACACTGTCATCTGCATAGGAAATTATTTGCTCTAAAATAAAATGCTGCATTCAGGAAACATTGAAAAAATAACAGCAACTTTTGGATGATTTAGGTAACAAATTTGTAATTCAGTCTGAAATTTCCTGCTTTTTGGGGTTTTATAAAATATTTTCTTAAGGACAGGGTGTTACTGATGAGCGGGGGAATGTATAATCAAAGCAAGAGCTACACTAGGTGCCATACAGTGTTTCACGTTTGTGAAGAGAAACACCAGATAAATTAACGGTGCCTTTTAACCACACTGTCTGTGTACCTGTTTAACTTTGAGAGTTTATTTCTCACTTACATTTGAGTTTATACCATTTACTTTACACTTTTTTACAATGAACACATGTTTATTTTATTTATCTTTGGTTGTTGGTCCTTGGTATACTCATTTTAACCAGGACAGGAGAATGTATCTGCTGTAGTCTTTGTTTTGTGTTGGCTCATTCATAGGACAGTTAAAAAAAAAACAAATCAAGTTTTTGGTGTCTGGTTTTGATTTTGCACATTTAACTAGACATATTTATATCAGCTTTGGGTTTTAAAGGGACATTTATTAAAGCAGAATGTCGGGGCTTACAGGGAACACTGATGCTGTCTGTCTTTGTTACTGTTGACGCGCACAACCAATGCTAAACTTACACTTTATATTTTCATGTTCTGTCTGTTTATGCTTCTACACTGTATCTGGATATCCGTGCACACTGTAACTACACTTTTCCATGCTGTTATTACCAAGGACTGACTGCATATACTGTACATGTTTGCAGATTGCATTTGATGTATTGTATAATCAATACTCAACATCACAGAGGAGTTTTACAGTTACACTTGTTTGTAAATGTTCGTATCACGTCTGCTGTCTTTACTCAGTGTCAGATCATGTGATGTTTTTCACTGGTTATACTTAAATAATAACATGATGTTTGCCACCATTTCATTTTTATACTCCACTGTTTTCTATCTGTCTTGTGCCTTTAACCTTGTCAGCTGTGGTGCTGAGCGTATCCAGTGCAAAGGGAGGAGAATAAATGAATGTGGAGGAACCCCAGTGGCTGTTCTTTGTCAGTGGTGTAAAGTTATTGAGTACATTTACTCCAGTACTAATGTTCATTTTATGCTACTTTAGGCTTCTGCTCCACTACGTTTTATTTTTAAATCTTTTTATTAAACTTTTAGAACATATTCATACACTCATAACAACATCTAACACAACAAGGTATACTAAGCTCCAGACACAAACAGCAACTCCAAAACGAATCCCAGGAGGGAGCCCATCTGTGCGGAGTTTGCATGTTCTCCCCGTGTCAGCGTGGGTTTTCTCCAGGTACTCCGGCTTCCTCCCACAGTCCAAAGACATGCAGGTTAATTGGTGACTCTAAATTGCCCCTAGGTGTGAATGGTTGTCTGTCTCTATGCGTCATCCCTGTGATAGTCTGGTGACCTGTCCAGGGTGTACCCCACCTGTCGCCCAATGTCAGCTGGGATAGGCTTCAGCCTCAAGAGGATAAGCAGTTACGGAAATGAATGAATGTAATAAATGATGCCTAATGCATACAGATGTCGAATAGATTCTTGAATGCTCCACTACATTTTAGAGGAAATATTGTACTTTTTAAACTCCACTACATTCATGTGATGTTTACCAGATTTTACACGGGGAAACAAAACACAATGAGCTCTTAAGTCATGTCATAAAATTAAACCTCTTAAAAAAAAGTAGCTTTGTTTAGTTGGGGCTCCTTTTTTATGTTTTCTTTCTTTTATTGGATCCCCATTAGCACCAGCTTGAGCATTGGCTGTTCTTCCTGTGGTCCATGCACATACAGTCTTACACACTCATACACAATAAAACACATAAACACAGCTAACTAAACAGCACATCTCTGTGGTTTAACATTAAGCAGAACACAAAGATACAAATTGTCATCCTTTTCACAAGAATTATGCTCAACAAAATTATAAATTCATCACAATTCCCCAAGAACTCATGGACGGAATTTTTTATCCTCAGCCAAATTAATGGTAATTCTTTAAAAACATAAATATTTATCTGACTAACCTTGATTATATATTTATCCATCCTGCACTTATTCACATTTAGTTCCAAAAAAATAGGGTATCTCATTCTCCTCCAAGGGGTATTTCTACTTTCAATCAGCTTTACATTTAACCCTTAAAACATTTGTATGATATGAAAACACAATTCACTGAAAATTCCTCAAATGTTTTGAGATATTTTTTGATAAATTTAAAACAAAATTCAAAACAGTACCTCCAACCATTTAAGATGTCTATGAGTTCATTTAAAAAAGAATTATGAGGCTCAAAATGTAAAACATTATTGAATACCTTACAAAAACATTCGATGATTAGAGAAAACCCTCAACTAGACTACCAGCCTGTATATAAAGTATATAAACTTAGCTTCATTTCTACCAGCCACTACATTAAAATGATACATGTGTATTGATACATCAGTATTACAACTTGATTCAACATACAGTGCACATAATTGTACATATTTCTTATGTTAACTCTTATTCTATTCTTGTTTTATTCCATTAATTTATATACAGTAGTTACATTTTCACACTTACAGACACAGCACTGTGATGATATATATTTTATTTTTCAATATTTTTAGTATCGCAAGTACTACTGTTAAACACTGCAGCATAATGCACTTTTTATTTTTATTTTAATGCACATTTTCATTTCTATTTCATTTCTTATTTTATATGTACATACTTCTATTGCATACTATTATTCTTACTTTTTATAATTCTATATTCTCTACAAGGGAGCAACTGTAATGAATCATAATTCCCCTCAGGGATCAATTAAATATTTCTAATTCTAATGTCTCAGGAGGCATTTTTGTATTACAAGCACTTGTACTTGTGATACATGGGATACATGACACTTTTTAATGATTATGTGTGATTATGTCTTTTAATTAGGGAGAACTTGAATGTTTTACACATTTTTTAATTAAAGAAATAATCTGAGTGCTGTTCCCACCTCTGGTCTTTGCACATCTCAGCAGTAGATGGAGCTGTTTAGCTGTAACTGTCCACCTGGATGCTTTAAACACCGCTTGTTTGTCCTGCAGGCTCCTGTTTGACAATGACTCACTTCCTTGTGACAGTGAACCAGCTGAGGTCAAACTTCAGCAGCTTATCTCCAGGCAGATCTGTCCTGTCATTACACCTCAGTGTTCCTCAGTGTGTGTGTCCAGCTGATGGAGGCTGACTCTCATCTTACATGTGTGTGATGGAAGAGGCCAGAAGAGGGAGCTCCTGGTTAAATGGAGCGGGGTTTTAGTTTACAGAGAGGAGGAACAAGCACTTTGTGTGTGTACATTATCTAAATATAGTCTCTACAAGAATGAAACAAAGGAAGCAAACATCACCAAAGAAGATCATTTTAGACTTAAAAGTTAAATCAAAATCAAATGTAAAACAATCTAACGAGAGAAAATACCTGAAATACATATAGGCTACATTAACACATATAATGTACAAACTGTACAGATCTTTGAGATATATTTGCTCCCTTTTAATAACCGAGCTCCCACTTGGCTCATTTTTACAGGCCTACCAAAATACCAGTGCAAAGCACAGCAAGAATAAAATGCAAATCACTCTGCCTTCACTGAACTAACATTAGGCCTAATTGGAAGTTAATGAGCTATCCTGCAGTTCCAGATGTATTAATAATATCTGAGGTTTATCCTTCTCGGACTAAAATAGCTTTAAATTATATAAGGTTGCAGCAATATTTCATTACATGTAAGTCTGCACTGAACATTTTACTTCAGAACTCTGACACTGTTGGATTCAGTGTTTAAAAAATGGACCATGCAGTAGACATTCCTTATTAAACCCGGCCGCCTACATTACCCACAATGCAACTCGACCGTTGACAGTTGGCTCTACGATTCAGGTGTGTTATGCTAGTAGCAGCTAATGTAGCGGCTAGCTTCTACCCCATATAACCAGAGATATTAACCTAATGGTCTATGGTAGAGATGAGGAGCGGGCTACAGAGGTCAGGTAAGCTCATTTATCTTGACACATCCATGTTTGTTTCATTTTCAAACTTGTCGTCTTCAGTCCCAGCCGCCGTAGACTCAAGTGACATCATTGGAGGCAACTTATCACGTCTCGCGCTGGTTACTCTGTAGCAAGGAAAGGCTAGTTTTAATTCACACAATTAGCTACATTTCTTCTCCATAAGTTCCCTTTTATGTAAATATGGGAAGTTTTATTGGCAAAATGTACTTAAAACACTAAAAGTAAAAGCACTCAGCACAGAAAATGACAGTGTTAACACCATATAATTGCATTATTATTATTATTAATATTATTATTACAGTGTGTAACGTTTAGCATTTAGTGTTGTATGCTAGCTAGCTGAGGGGAAGCTAATTTTAATATTGTTTGTAGGGTTGCAGCGATATACCGGTTTTAGGGTATACCATGATATAAAAGTTGACAGTTATTATACCATGTACATTTGCTTATCTATAATATTGGAAAAAATAAAGCAACTAGATGGAGAATCGCCCATTTATTTTAGTTATTTTCAAATGGGAGAATTTTTACACAAATTTCCATTGACAAAATGGCTTAAAGTTTCAGTTATAGTAATAAAACATTTGTTCAACCAGAAATAACCCCTCTGTTTTCATTCCTTAAAAGGTCATTCTGACTGATAATAATATAAACTTGGTTATACCTTGATACCCTGAAACCGAGATTTTTTCTGAGACGGTTATCATACCGTTAAAATCTCATACTGTTGCAACCCTAACTGTTTTACCTATCTACATTACTGCAACACGTAATGATTTTACACTAAACACGTGTGATGCCCTTTTAAAATACTCTAATATTTAAAGTAGAAACAGACAATACTTTCCAACTTACCCAAGGAAACTAAAAAAAAAACAAACCTAAAACTTCTATAGCTTTATGGTGTTTTTAAGCGGTATTATTGCTGACGCTGATGTCGCAAAGACATCCAGCTCACTTTATGTTTTCCTCAGAGCCGAGCAGCTACCACAGTTTCCACAGTTACTTCAGTTTTTCCACCGTTACATATGTCCACCATTTCCACTAACGGGATAGTAACTGCAGAGAACTTACAGTGATGTGCTTTGGTAACTCGTGATAACAGGGAAAGAAAAGCACATCCTCTTCCTGTTTTAGATGTGCCATGGTTGACACATGGTTACTTTGTGCTGTAAATCGATCCTTCATCAGATCATACCTGATGTCATTGTGATAGCACGATTTAGAGGGAAACAGTCTAAACGCGGATGGTGTCATTATTCTATAGCAATTACAGTGTACGACCGACATTAATTTCATAATGATAAGTTCAAGTAGAAATGCACAATATGATTTTTTTAACAGGTGATGCCAATAACTGATAATTATGGATAATTTCACATTTGTCATATTTTAAAAAGAAGTTCATAACCTGTAGGTAGCATAAGTGGATGACCTCTGACCTAACCAAATCTGACACCACTACAAAAAAACAGTTCTGACTCTTTAAATCTGTTTTGCCAAAGATTTCTAATTAGATGCTTTGACATAATCTGTCAAATCAGACATGTCATTGTATTATACAGAGGTAAATGAAGTAAGATCATCCCTCAATACAAACATAAAGGCTTTGTGATTCTCATACATTGATTTTATATGTGAAGACCTGTCATAATATCAACGCTGGCCTGCCAAATTTTGATTTTCTTTTTTTTTTTAGCATTCAAAATGAGTAAACTCTGCTGTTATTGTAGAGCTGCACACAGTGTATTGATTCCCTCAGCTGTTCCTTGATCTGCTCTCTCTGCCTCTCTGTCTATCATGAGACAATAGCACACCCCGCCGTCCGCAGTACACACTGACGGGGCTAACTGTTATAAACAGGTTTCACAAGTGAGTCGAGCCGTTTTGGTGTCGTTCTGATTTGTTGGGATTGTTAAACAGCTCTGTGTTGAATGTTAGCTGCTGCTGCTGTGTTTTCTTGAGCTAACTG